AATAGTTGAGGGATTCTCTAGCCTTCCATTCCTTTGTCTTGGTCTGTACAACTGTCTTAACTCGGAGCTCAGTGGAACAAGTCAGCTGGCTCTCCAGGTGTAAAACTCGAGCACAAGGAGAGATGGGCTCACAACTGAGCTCTAGGCAGTGCAGATATTTGATATCTGATTTGATCTTTGCATGATCCCTGTAGTTGAGAACTCCACTCCATACTCAAGCACAGGTTGTGAAGGTAGTGTGGATGTGGTCTCTGTAAGCTGTGTCCCAGCTGTGTTCCTCTTACGTTCAGCAACTTACTTCACTGTGTAGATCAAGACACTGAGAAGCTGTATTTGGTAACTGCAGACCACACAACCTGTTTTCTGAGCAAGAAAATCAAGATTTTAGTCTGTGTCTCAGAAACTCGAGAGTAGTTTCATTTTTCTCTACAGTAAGAGCTTTATCTTTTAACTTACATTCAGGTGTTCATGATTATCCAAATATTTTATGGTTAGTGAATATGGAAAGATGAAGCACGCGGTCAAAACAAAGTTGACACATGGGTGAGGAACAGGACAATATGGTAATCTGTAATGTATTGTAATAGGCTCTGGACATTTTCCCCAAGGCACAGACAAATAATCTGCTCTAGTTTAAGCCTGTGCCAGGATTTTTTTTCACGTCATTGTCTTCTGAAGAGGATCCTGCTGCTAGCATCTGAAGCAACATAATTCTCAAAACCATTTACATTGTGTAGATGCGTCAGTCCCGCACTGGGTTTCCAGTAACCAGGGCAGTTTTGAGAGCCATACTTGGGAGCTCGCAGGGCCTGAAAGTAGAACTATTCCTTCTTCTCTGATCTTGCTCTCCTCACATAAGGTCTCTGAGATTTTCTGTAAAGAAATGTAAAGATGTGGAGGTTTAGACTTGATTCAGCAGTGGGCGGAGTTAAGCACACCCATGTCTTACTGACTTCATCCTGTCATGAAGTGTTGAACCTTTTTCTCTTTCTCTTGCTGAATAGGTTGTTGAGTTGGATCTCCATACTGTTGTCCCTTGCTGCAGTGGACCCAAAAGACCTCAGGACAAAGTTGCTGTATCGGATATGAAGAAGGATTTTGAGACTTGTCTGGGAGCCAAGGTATGGATTAGGAACATTCGGTCCTATGAACTAGTATGTACCTCTAGAAGCTGTCTAGTCTTTGCACACCTGCATTCTGGGATTAAGTAGCGGGGTGTTTGGTTATTCATTCAGAATTAAATGGGGATATCGGACTGGTATTTGAATACAGTTTAGAAAATGGCATCAGCAAAATGAGTAGTTTAAAATTGGGGAGGTGCGTTCACATGTTCCTCTCACATGAACATGTTCCTGGCCTAGTGAAGTAGTAGTTCTTTCTGACTGAAATCAGTCTGAAGCCATCTGAGGCCTGACATGGGTTCAACATACGGTAGGGAGTTCTAAACTAGCCAACCTGTGTGTTGCTAGTACGCTGGATGAAGTAGATACTGCACTGAGCTCTTTGCTAACTACCTAGAGCTTCACCAGCTTTTCAAGTGGCTTCTGTACTGAGCTCTACGAGGTAGTTTTGCCTTTGGTACCCAAACTAGATAGTTCACAACTGCTTGTGTCTCCATGTCTCTTTGAAGTTGGTGGTGAAGATGGAACAGAATACTTTCTAAGAAGGAAGTTACTTCTCTTTACACCATCTCAAGGAAAAAATGGTCCTTAAGAGCAAGATTTTGATTAGACTCAAAAAGCCCAGACCCAAACATGTGTATTTCCAAAATCGGATTGAATCTTTACCTGAAATGGGAAAAGGCAGTATATGTAAAAACTCTGCTGATCTGTACCAAGAAACTTAAGCTACAGCAATCTCAAAGAATTCTTAATTGGTTACATTTTTCAAAGTCCATGAAATTACCTTATCCTTTCAAATCTCCACACATTTCATAGTGGGAGCAGTGCTTTCTTGTTCTTTGTTTTTCAGCTGTCACCTTTTGCCTCTCAAGTCAGCTTGCAGCATAGATTTCAGCCATTTAGTATTCACTGCTTACATGCAAATCTTACGTGCTCTGGCTGAAATCTCAGAACTAGATTGAGCAACTAGGCTAGCCTCTTTATGGGGAGGCTTTGCTTTCCAGTACGTGAAGAGGTGTCCACGGCACATGGAAGAAAGATGTGTCTGAGCAGACTGAAGAAGGATACATTTGTGCAGGAAAAAAAAAACAAACACATTCTGCTCTAAAGGCCCCTCCCTGTACTGCTAAAGGTAGAATAGAAGGGACCCCGTAGAAAAAATTTTTCCCACCACTTGGGCTGACCAAGGGTGCAAGCCTTTACCGCGAGACCTAAAAGTACAAGTTACAGTGTGATGACAGTTAACATTCATGAAGTTCCCAGCCCATACCAGTTCCCAGTCAAAAAATTTGTATTAACCACATTCCTGTGATCCTTACTTTTTCCTCTTACAGCAAGGATTCAAGGGATTCCAGATTGCCCCTGACTGTCACAACAACAAAGTGAAATTTAGTTTTGAGGGCTGTGACTTTGAGCTTGCTCATGGTTCCGTAGTGATTGCTGCCATTACAAGCTGTACCAACACCAGTAACCCCTCGGTTATGCTGGGAGCAGGTAAGTTTGCACGCTTTTATATGCAGTAGTTTCTCTCTGGCTCTGGTTGTGTATCATAAAAGCAAATAGAACACTGCTGTAATTCTGAATGCACAGTGCTGTTTTTGTCATTCTAGTTGCATGCTAGAATTGAACTTAGTCCCTAAGGGCAACAAGAGGAATTCTGGAAATAGTGTTTGGTTTGGTACCTGGAAATAGAAGCTGAAGAAAACATTGTTTTCCTGCACTGTCTTCTCTACAGGACAACCTGCAGCTGAATTAATCAGTGCCTCTGGCCCTTGTTCAGATGCACAGAAGTTACTTACATAGGTCTTCTGTGACTGGAGCTGAGGGAGAGGCTATTAAAAGTCAGAGGGACAGCGAAGAAGAGTAAACTGTGTTTTTATGTCTGTAGGTGCTTTAATCTTGCAGCAGAGGACAAAAAGCTGCTTAGAGGTGTACTGAGTTGTCAGAGGAGTCTGAGCCTGAGGGAAGTTGTGTTCCCTGTGATTGCTTCTTTTTGACCCTTCTCATTTACATGTTATCTGCATCCAGGAAATGGCTGAAGTTACCACATGACAGGTTTGTCTGACTTGATTATGAGACCTTTCTGGTCGTAAAAAGCAGTTGGAGGGCAGGGCTTGTTTCTTTTTAACCTGACCGGTCTGGGCTGAAAATTTATCCAGTCAAGTGTTGTCTTCTGACAACAAATATAAAGAAAGTCAGCTCAAAGGGCTCAATCTACAGCAGCCCAGTTCAGTTCCCTATCCCAGGTGCTTGCTGCATGCTCATACATATGTTTTTCCTATTCTCCTCTTCAAATTTATACACAAGCATTACCTTTCACTATACGATCAACTGCATTAGGCCTTACTAGCCTGTCAGGCTGTTTGCAAGATGCAGGTTTATCTTCTACAAAGGCAGGAATAGATGTGTTTCATAGGCAGTGCCAAGGCTCTTTGCGTGAAAGCATGACCTAACGGCTGAGGTCCACATAGTCTGTCCCTAGAGCTCCTGTGTGGTGTGAGGAAAATCTTATTTTATGGACTGCCCCGATAACAGTCACTCTGAGTTTAGTTTGTCGGAACAACATTTGTGACCTGTTCTCGGGCAAGCACCTTTCTTTGGTCACTCTGCAGTGCTGGCAGTTTATCCCCTTGCCGGGCACAAGACCTCTGTTGATTCCCAACAAGAGGGACAAAGTTGATCGCTACCAATGAGGGGAGAGGAGAGAAGCGGCTCTATTTCTTCCCCCTTTCAAAGGAGCAGAGCTAAACAAAGCCCCCCAGTTCTCTTATTCTTGACTGGACAGCCAGATCAGCTGCTTCTTCCATCGGGTTCTTCCTAGTCATAATCACAGAGGAAGAGCAATGTTTCTTTCTTCCAAGGATCAAGAAGTAGACTTCCTCCACGTGGACTGTCCTGTCTCTCTATCCTGTTCCCTTAGCTGTAGTTGGGTATATCCTTTAGTTGCTCTGTCTGCTTAGGATATGGTTGCCTCAAGTGTTTCATTCCCAGGCTAACTGAGTGCAATTTAAACCCTCTCCTGTATGGTGGTGGGGATGCTTGTCTTTCAGTCCACTTGAGTTAATGGCTCTAAGGGTTTAGTGTGCAGAATGCCCTGCAGATACAAGTGAAGTTGGTGCACTGGAATAATGCACAGCAGCCTGAAGAGTCTCTATGTATGCACTCCAAATTAGTGGGTGCTCTTGACTTTGCTGCCAAAGGGGAACAGGGAAAATATTATTCCCTCTGTCTTTGGTAATTGCTTGGACATGACAGTGATGAAAGCCTCAGAGATACCCACAGGGAAGATGATCATCTGGCTTTCGGAATAGGGTTTGAAATGAAAGTGAATAAAATACACAGTGCTCTCACGCTACCTAACAAGCTAACGAAAATCTCAAATATGAATAATTGTTTCAAACTAGCACAGTGTATTCTGTGCACCAAATGATGTGCGGGGCTCTGTGTTTGTGGAGATAATAACTGTACACTGTTGTAGTCTTTCCAGCCTAATCTTGCTTTAGCAAGATGCTCAAAGCAACTTAAGTTCTGACATTTCCTTACCTTTTTTATAGTTTGACTTCACAGTCTTTCAGAATGGGTGTTTGCAAGAAAACACAAGCAAACACTTTTAAACAGGCTGTTAGGCTCTCAGGGTTCTCTAAGGATGATTGTTGGTTCACGGTCGTCTTCTCAGAAGTACCCAATAGGTCCAGCTGCCACAGCTTCCTCTGGCAGTTGAGGAGCCTCAGCAATTTCAAGAGTAGGACTGTTACTTAATTCATGTGTCTACCTTTAGACCTCCAAAGTCTGGCCCTTCTCACACAGCACTTAAAAGCAGAGATCTCCAGGCCATGTCTAAAAGAACTGCCAAACAGCTGGTAAAAAGAAGTTGGGTTTGGTGACGTATTCCTGCTTGCTTGTTTTACGTGCATCCCGGGAAAGGCGTGGTGAGGATTTGGTTTCTGAAGGAAAACTACACTCGTTTGGGTACAGACAGTTCATTTAAAAGGAACAAGTTCAGGACATGTTTCTGGTAACACGTCCTCTCCATGAAAACATTTCTATACAGGGTACAAATCTAGATGTGGTAACATAACACTTCTGCAGCAAGTTACAGATCGTGAGCTAGCTTGTTTGTAGCAAGTGGCTGGAATCAGTACTGTCATAATCGTCATCTTCTGAGGGCAGTAAGTTCGGCATTGGGTTACCAGGCTCTCATAAATGGAAAATTAACAATACTTTATTGCATTTTTTTTGGTTTTTTGCAGGTGACTTTTGTTTAACCAATTACTGAATTTTGAATCGCTCTGCACGCTGACCAGGCATGAGTGCCTCTTATAATTTTCTGTCACTTTCCATTAAGGCGGAAAATGCAGACTGGACCCACAGTTCAGCAGAGCGCTTGAGCTCTGGCTGGTTACTCTGAACTCAAGTGGATTACTGTGATTGTTTATCTGTACCATCTCACTGCTGGAAATGGAGCCCCTTCTGTTTTCCTGTTAATTGATGGCACTGCTGTTAACCTGTTGATCCACCAAACTGTCCCACCTCGAGGAAGAACTGTAACTATCCTTTGCATTTTTCAGGATTGCTTGCTAAGAAAGCTGTTGAAGCTGGCTTGACCGTGAAGCCATACATTAAAACTAGCCTGTCCCCAGGAAGCGGGGTTGTCACTTACTATCTGAGGGAGAGTGGAGTTATGCATTACCTTTCTCAATTAGGGTAAGAGGGCTTTTCTTACTGTTGGCTCAGGGCTGCCTAAGTACAAGCATTAACAGCAAGTGATGCAATAAAATAATCATTTATCTATACAGCTTAAAAGATGTGGCAGATAACCCTATGGCGTGATCATGAGTTAACACAGTACTGTTATGTTGGCTGACTTTGTGCCAACACGCTCAGGGAGGGAGAGGGCCTGTTGCTTGCTGCAGCTTCTTGAAGTTTCATGTTCTTAAGCAGTAAAATTAATTTTTTTCCAAGAATAATAATTTTAAAATAGCATAAATGACTCTTGTATTGCTAGATGACGCATTTCTTAGGTCTTCATTCTGTGTGCACAGAAAATCACTGGAATGACAAAAATTGAGTGTTGTTAAAAATGCTATTTTCAGCAGCAATCCTTTTGTTAAAGCAATGTATCTTATCTTCTAAAATTAACCCTAGCCAAGTGGTAAGGATTTAAACATCTTACTCCAAAATAGCTTTCTGTTCACTGATGATTTTTCTGCTCTGTCTAGGTTTGATGTGGTGGGTTATGGCTGCATGACCTGCATTGGCAATAGCGGGCCCCTACCAGAATCTGTTGTTGAGGCCATCACAAAGGTATGCATCAGTCAGCCTTTCTAGTGCAGCTTATTTAGGTAAGCTGTTCTCATTCTTGTGCTGCTCTGAGCTGCGTATGTGAGTTATCTGTTCTCGTTGAAGACTGAGAGGTGATCTCATCAACGTGTATAAGTGTCTGAAGGGGGAGGAGGGGTGTCAAGAGGATGGGGCCAGTCTCTTCTCCGTGGTGCCCAGCAACAGGACAAGAGGCAACGGGCAGAAACTGAACCACAGGAAGTTCCACCTAAACCTGGGAAAAAACTTCTTGACTGTGAGGGTGACAGAGCATTGGAACAGGTTGCCCAGAGAGGTGGTGGAGTCTCCTTCGCTGGAGATACTCAAAACCCGTCTGGATGTGATCCTGGGCAATATGCTCTAGAGGTCCCTGCCTGAGCAGGGAGGTTGGTCTAGATGATCTCCAGAGGTCCCTTCCAACCTAAACGATTCTGTGATTGTGTGGAAAGTAAGTTCAGTCCACATTCCATTTTCTGTGGGATATACTCGGGGATCATTTGGAAGGAAACAGTTCTGTGATTGTCCAGTCATTGATGTCACAGCATGGGGCAGCTGTGCAGACCTACAGGGTGCCTGAAGTCTGGAAACACTACAACGTCTTTTGTCTTAAATCTTCTCTTGCAGGGCGACCTTGTTGCTGTGGGTGTGTTGTCTGGAAACAGGAATTTTGAAGGGCGTGTCCATCCCAATACCCGTGCAAACTACCTAGCCTCCCCACCCCTGGTAATAGCCTATGCAATTGCAGGGACCATCCGGATTGACTTTGAAAAAGAGCCTTTGGGTAAGGTGTTACTGGGAGAGCTTTTGGGCAAGACGCTATTAGACACCGTCAGCATCCTTCTTTTCCCACCTTAAACAAAACTGGTTGGAATTAAGATCCTCAGAAACAGTGGTCCTGGGGAGATGCTTCAAATGCAGAAGTACATCTGGGATACAAAGAATGAAATTGTTAAGCAACAGAGCAACAACAGGGTCTGTTTAGTGGAGGAAGGGAAAGCTAAGTTTGACTAATATTCTGGTTGTGCAGGGGCATCCTTTTGATTATGTCTGGGTTGCAGTATCTCAAGAGCAACGTGATCCGATTGACTGTCTTTGAGCAGGGAGTTGGACTACACAACGCTCAAAGATCCTTTCCAGCCTAAATCATTCTACACATTTCCCTGTAATGGCAATTGCAAAAGAAGCCATGTGTGTAGGCACCAAGTCCATGAGGCTCCCTTCTGTCAGACCCTTGTAGATGAAATAAAGTGCATCTCATGAGTACTGGTCAGACTAGAAGGAACACACTGCTGAAGGATACTACTACCTGATGCACTTCCCCTCCTCCCTACCCCCAATGGAATATTTGTACAAAGAACATAACAATGCCATTTCCTACAGGAATAAATGCCTCGGGGAAAAAGATTTTCCTAAAAGACATCTGGCCAACCCGAAACGAGATTCAGGCTGTTGAGCGTCAGTTCGTTATTCCTGGGATGTTCAAGGAAGTCTACCAAAAAATAGAGGTGAATTAGTCCGCAGTGCAATAGTTCGGTTGATGCTGTGCTGTGCTACTCTGCAGGATTGTGTTAGCAAGTGAGCTATTGCAGCTTCATGGATTTGTTTTTTTTTCTAGCTGACATAAAATTTATTTGCCCCATTTAATAGCATTCACATAAAAAAGAAAACTTGTGCTTAGTAATGTCTTGTTCCACACTAATGAAAGGAAATGTGTTTGGGGTTTACGTGCAACTTCTTAAGATTACTGAGAAAACACTTGAGAGTTATAAAGCATTGTCTGGGTGCATAATACAGATAATTGTCAGAAAACTGGATGAACGGCTCTCCTTTTCTAATGAAACGAGGGTGTTTGCTTTTCCTCACTCTTGCTTTTAAAAGACACAATCAGAGAAAAACACCTTCTATGTTGTCATAAGAAGTGCCTTAAAAATGTAAGGACTTCACTGAAGTCGAATTTGTAATTTGACATGAACTCTGAAGTGATTCCGTTGCTTCTGAAAACGTAGAAATCCACAGGATGTTTTTGTGTGTTTTTCAGACAGTAAATAAATCTTGGAATGCCTTAGATGCTCCTTCAGATAAACTATATACTTGGAATCCCAAGTCAACGTACATCAAGTCTCCACCTTTCTTTGATGGTCTGGTAGGTGCACACTTTCACTTTGAGGCAGGCTGGTCTGTATAGTAATACCTTAACTCATGTTAAAATGATGCAAAGCCACTCCAAAGGACACAGGAACATACGTCTTGCCAATGCGGGGCTTATCTTAGCCTTTACAGGCCGTGGTTCTCAAATGTTAGCATCACACCCGTTGTATATATTGTAATACAAAAGCATGAGTGAATCTGAAAATCTGAAGGATTCACTGTCACTACAGGACTTTTGAAAATTGTCCTTTTTGCTTTTTAGGTGGAATAGTTTTAAATAGTGAGAAAGGAAGTTAAGGGAAAGGAAAAGAAATGCAACCCACAGGTCTGCCTGTGTGCATTTTTGTAACAAATGATTCAATGTTCAGATAGCCATTTCAGCACTGCTTAAAATAAAATGCAGATTCTGATACATGCAGATGTCTAGGAATCCTGGACTTTCCTCCTACTCATGCATGTACCATGGAAAATCTCAGCTAACTTTTTTGCTTTGTGTATTCTATATATGCATGAACACGCTGACAGGCACCCAAGAGGTCATGTTTTTGTTCAACATTTAATTTTTAGGAATGTTAATTTTTTTAAACTTTCCTCTAACTTGTAGAAGAACAGAGATTTTATTTTGCTAATTGCTTATGCATGTCCTGCACTTTCAAAAAAAGTAAAGGAACTCTGTGCCATATTTTAATTATTTTCTTTGCATTTGTGTTGGTTAGACTTTGGCTCTTCAGACCCCCAAATCAATCAAAGATGCTTATGTGCTGCTGAGTTTTGGGGATTCTGTGACAACTGACCACATATCTCCAGCTGGGAATATAGCAAGGAATAGTCCTGCAGCCCGTTATTTGACTAGCAGAGGGTAAGTGCTTTTTTTTTCTCTTTTTTTTTTTTCCTTCCGCTTCCTCCTCTTTTTCTTCTTATAAATTGGGAAGACGAAATAAGGCCCAATTACTGCATCATGTTATTGGCTCCCAGATCTGCTAAGCCCACATCTGCTTTTGTACCTTGGATCATTCCTGGGGAATAACATGAAAAAAGAATAGCATTTCTACTTCTGCTCTTTCAGCACCTTTCATTGATTCTGATAATTTGTCTAGAGGGTGCAGGTCTGTTATACTGGGGAGCTGAAGACTTCTGTGTAGAGAGAGGGGAGGGAAGGAGACTTCAGGCTACCTTTTGCAATAGGACAATTCAGAAATAAGGGAATCAAGACTGGTCTCCATATTGAAGCTGAAGACAAAATTATTATGGTCCTTGATGCCAAAAATTGGTTCTGTACTGATTTCTAGCACGTGTAACTGTATCACAGATCTAGGGCAGCATGAGCTACAGAACATCACTAAGCTTAAGCTTCAGTGCAGCTGCAACAACTGGAAAAGCCATTGTTGGCTTGCTAGGGACAGTCTTGTCAGTTTAGTATAAGCTGCAACTTAAGGCAAGAGTAGGACTTGCTGTGTCTTCAGGTATAATATGTGTCTGCTGCTTGGTCTTCAGGTATAATATGACAGTCTTTTTCTCTGGTTTAGCACTTCTTACAACTTCACTGATGTTTTTAAAAACAGCACAACCATTTGAAAAAAGTATTTTCATTAAGTCTAATAATTCTGGAGATTAAATTGATTAAAACAGCGTCATCTACTGGCTGCTAGCTGCTCGCACCTGTTTGACCAACTGTTGTCAGACACTTTGAAATCTAAATAATCCCACACACATTACAAAACAAATGTTTTATGTCAGAGCCACCTTCTGGATGTAGCCCAGTACAAACAGTCCTCTGTTACATTCCTTGCCTTTTTTTCTGCAGAGGTTGCTAGACTGGAGTCCCTCCTCATTTCTGTATCTCTAGTCCCAAATCAACCTTTTCTTCCTTAGTTCTGACTTGTAGCAGGGGCTCTCTCTTTGCCTTTTAAATGTTTAGCACAGCTGTGCCTCCACCTTTGTTCTAGATGTTGTGACAACCAGAAATAATTAGGAGGATTTTCAGTTGCCAGCTAGTAGGAGAAGATTTCTTTTGCTTCTTCTGACACAGCATGGACTGTATCATTGCATCCTTGCATCACTGTCAGATACTGTTATATTGGGCAAGGGTTGGGAATACCACGGCAGTTGCTTTCTGTGTCCAGCTTCAGTAGACAGACCCCCCCTGCCCCTCTTTTTTCTTAATGAAAAAATTTAAAGGCAGAAGTAAAATAGTAGAAGATTTGGATACCTCTATGCTACTGTCATTAGTTGTCATGATGGGAGCTATGTGCATAGCTGCTGAGAGAGTTTCAGAAACAAGTTGAAAACACAGCTGGCTGCTGCACCAGGGACACTAGATCACTGATTTTTTTTAAAAGCACAGCGTGTTTTAGTCTAAAATAACAACAGTGACCTTTTTTTTATTTTTTCCTTTCCCTTAAAAGCTTGACTCCTCGAGAGTTCAATTCTTACGGCTCCCGCAGAGGGAATGATGCTGTCATGGCCAGAGGAACATTTGCAAACATTCGCTTGGTGAACAAATTTGTTGATAAGCAGGGACCTCAGACTGTCCATTTCCCTTCTGGGGAAACTGTAAGTACACAGGCTGCTCTGAACTCAGGCTCACTGATGGTAGGGTGGATTAGCACTGGCTTTCCCTCTTACAGTTTAGGTCATTACTTAAGTCCCTTTTACGTAAAGCTGATAAAGTGACAGGAGCTGTGTTGAATTAAAGCAGTAGGTCAAACATACCTGCGTAACGTGGTTCTATCAGGCATGTCGATGGAGAGTACAATCATTGTAAAAGTGACAGTGAAAGGTGTAGTTTGTTTTGGGAATGAGACCAAGCTGGAAATCATACGGTGCTGTATGATAAATACCGTTAAAACGTGTCATGGTAGGAGGTGTGGGCTTCAGCTCTTTGTAGGAGAATACTTTTTGCTTGTTCCTGAGAAATGTGCTTCTACACCACAAAAACACATAAAGTGTTTGGCATTTTCATTTCAGCTTGATGTGTTTGATGCTGCAGAAAGATACAAGCAGGCTGGCCATCCTCTGATCGTGCTGGCTGGGAAGGAATACGGTGCAGGAAGTTCCAGAGACTGGGCAGCCAAAGGACCGTTTCTTTTGGTGAGTGACTGCGGTAAACTACAGAGAGGACAATATTTTAAAAAGTGTGTGTTGGTCAGGTAGAGTAGCATGGCTGGTTTCGATTCCTGTGATAGGTACGTTTTTAGAGATGCCAGCAAGACTAGGACCTCCATGCACATATCAAATAGGAGGTTATGATCAGACTGTTATTAGTGACTTCACTGGGAGGCTCATTAGCAGAGGAAAAAGGAGTGCCATGCTATCTTCTGTGAGAACAGTGAACAAGGGGATCTCTGGATAACTGTGAATTTCATTTAAGCACACGACACCCATGTGCATGCATAGCAGAACTTCTTGATAGCAGGAGCTATTTTGAGATACCAGCTGTGTCTAAGAGCTACAGTGGAATTGCAAAAGTTATTTAAATATTAACAAATCCTGTTCAGGCAGGAAACCTTGACTGTTCTCCAGCTAGCAGTCCACTAGGCTATCCCAGAAAGGCCAGTCCTTTTAATATTCTTGCCTCTTGCAATGCAGTAAACCTTGGTTCTGCTTCCGGCTGCCTTCTTGAGCTCACTGACCAGTGAAGATAGAAAGTGTAAGTGAAGAATAATATCAGTCAATATGAAATTTAGCATTGTTTCACCATGATTTGCAGTTTGCAAGGATTCTTACCAGTTCTGTGATAGGACCGTAATAGAAATCCAGCTACAGTGGAAAATCTGTTTGTTCTTCATCCTGCCCTACACTACTTCCCAGCCTTTTAGAGCTCCGATTCAAGCTTTCTCAGTGTGGAATTTTGAATGCAGTGGTTTGTTTATTATTAAACAAAGTTTTGGGGTTACACTTGTCTGAATTCTTTTACTTTCCCGTGGCGATCTGTTTTCCTAACTATATTAACATGTAGAAATCAATTAAAGTATACCTTAGAGTACATAGTGTAGGTGGGTAACAATGAAGTCAGTACTACCTCCAGCAAGAAAGGGGTGGCAGCAAGAGTTAAAGAAATGACTAGTGATGTTCTACTTAGGACTCATTAAAGGACCTCAGATTCCAGAGAAAGCACATGAAATCTTTGACAATCAGACTTCTTCGAACGTGTTTGGAAGTTGACATATCATCAAGTAGTCCTGGACAGTCTGCTGTCAGAGAGACCTGATGACTTAGCAATAGCTGATAAATAGAAGGAGGGGGCTGCAGAAGTTTGGATTGTTTTTCCTCCGAGCATGGAAAGACAATCATGAACCGTGATGATGATAATATTTGTTGTGTATTTCCCAGGGAGTCAAGGCAGTGCTTGCTGAAAGCTATGAGAGAATTCATCGCAGTAACCTAGTAGGAATGGGAGTGATTCCTCTGCAGTATTTACCTGGTGAGGATGCAAGTACTCTAGGCCTCACTGGACGTGAACGTTACACAATTATCATTCCTGAGAAACTAAAACCACAGATGAACATCCAAGTCAAGGTAAATAAGAAACCTAAGGCTGAATTTTCTAAAGCACTGTAATTTAATTCAAAATACCTGTTTCTTCAAACAATATGTTTTGGTATGGCAGAAAGCTTCTCTCACTTGAGGTGAAGGAAAAGATTTGAGATGGGGAAGAGGGTGAACAGTCATTGTAATAGGAATCTTTTATGGTGGGATAAAAGCAGCATGCCCAAACTGTTTCATTCAGTAGAAAGGAGTCCTGTGTTTTTGACCAGTCCTTCTATGTCCAGTGTAAATTTTTCTGGCTCTGTTAATTTTTTTTAATAGCATAGTAGGAACTAAATTGTAAGCATTAAATAAATTCATTGTGTCTTAACCCTGACAAACTAACAGAATGTTCTATATTGCAGCATCCAACGTGAAGTCAAAGTATATACCCTGCGTAAAATGTAGCTAAACTTTAGGCACCGCGCTGATGCTATTCATCTGGCTCTGCCTCCAACCCCCTGCCCCTTCTTTGAAAAATATTAGCATCTGCAATGAAACTGTGATTTATTCTTGATTAGAACTCTTGTAAAACTGACTTATTTAGCCCAGTGGCCTTGAAGTCAGCTTTTTTTACTGCAATTAGAAAAAGAGTGTACTTACTGTGCATTCATTTAGTGCAGGTGGTCTGCCTAGATTAGTTTTTAATAACAGGCATTTATGTATGCCTCATTAACTGTTCTGAAGCAGAGCAAGTAGCGACCCAATGAGTTGTTAATGTCTGTGTATGCCCTCATCTCAAAATACGTGACAAGGACAGTTTTTAGTAAAGCAGTGGTTTGCTGGTTATTCGCTTCATGCACGTGTCTTTATGCTTTTCTTAATTCCAAACACTAGCCTCTAAAGAGAGCTAATTACATTAATATTGCTGTTACACTGAAGCCAGGAGAATGACTGTGTAGAAGAACATGAAGATTTAGAATAACCACTTAAAAGGGTGGTTTCATGCTTAGATTAGTGGGGTGGTTCTAGTCTTAGATTAACAATAAATCTAACAGAAGCAGCAAACAGAATGCAAGGATGCTCCATGCATAGTATGTTTTGTTTCAGACCGCCTTCCTCTGAAGCAACTGGCAGTGGTCTCACGTGGCATACAGTAATAGAGAAATACTGATGCCCAGTCCCTGCTCACTTAAGTGGTTTTCTATTGCAATTTTTCTTAACATTGCAAAATGTCATAATAATCCTTATTTTATTACTGTGTCCTGTAACATGTGGAAAGTTCTGCTTAAATGACTTTCTTAAATGACCTCCAACAGCTGGATACTGGGAAAACCTTTCATGCCATCATGAGGTTTGACACTGATGTGGAGCTCACTTACTTCCACAATGGAGGCATTCTGAACTATATGATCCGTAAAATGGCATCCTAATCCAAACAACGTTAAGCAAAAAGATCCAGGTACAAGCCTGCTTCTGGTGAGCACAAGAAAACAATATGGTAATCATAAACATAAAAGCCTGAACCATAAAGTGAGCAACTTCTATGTGGATTATATTATCAGGTGGTGTGTTTACAATGTTGAATGATTCTGTGTATCTGGAAATGGGGCACTTGTCCCATTAAAGAAAACAACTTTTTATTACTTTATTCATATGGTGGTTGAATTGACTTACTGTAGGATGACAGTGCAAAAGTCATGCAGTAGCAAAGTATTAAAAAAAAAAAAACTACTGTTGGAATCTGTGGAACTGTTGAAGATCATGTGCTGATTATGTATATTTTGTCCATTTAGTTTGACTCAGGTTCAGTTCTATGCTCAAATCACTGGTCCAAAAATTAACTGACAATATAAAATTAATTTTTTTTTCCTTTTCTGATTACCAGACATTGACTTACTTTTAACTACAATTGATCAGAATCCAACTCTAATATTGAAATTAATTATTTAGCTGCTTATTCATTTTAAAAATGTGAACTCTTTTCCTTTGAAATCTAAGCTCTAGCTTTTGTGGAAAAGTGGGCCATATGAGGACAATATTTCTAATGGATTAAAATTAAATATATTTTCAAAAAAGTTTGGTGTTTCTTTCATATTATCTTGAGTACTGAGACACAGAACAAAGTTTGTCCTTCAAACTCTTTGCCCCCCTTAGGAGTGTGATCTTACATATTTTGACTTCTCCTATTTTAATTACTTGTTCATTTGAATAAACTACATGATGCAGAATGAATATGAATTTTGTCAGATACTGGCAATATTCTGTACCCCATCAGAGTACTGCTGACTGTCTTCTTGATGACACAGGGCAGAGGAAAGTAAAAATCTACCACAATTTCAGGATCCCTGTCAGCAATTTTTATGGCAGCTAGCAACCACTGCTTAGACTACTGCATTCATTGAAGTCAGTGACTGCTTAATCCACAACACCAAATTAATCTGTTTACAAACAGTGATAATGAAAATATCTTTTTACTCAGCTATAAACAAGGCTATACAACTAATTCTAACTTTTAACTGTAGTGAGAGCAGCTGCCAAAACAATTAACATAGTGAATAAATATCCTTCCAGAGTGTCTTGCTGTTGTATTTTCAGTGCATTTGGCTACAGCTATATCTGGGAAAAAGCAGTGACTGCTTCTGAAAGAGTGCAAGAGGTTTAAATGGGGGAGAGAGACTGTACTCTACCTGCTGCAGGCTAGTAAGCTTGATTGATTACAACAAGCAAGAGAGGGCTTGGTGTTGTTAATAAGATGATGAGCACGATGATAATCTTGAGCTTTATTTGATAATAAATATACAGCTTTGGGTTCAGTTCCAAAAAAAGGTTCACATACTCTTAAAGGCCAAGTGAAGTGTTGGCATCGTTCCCCTCCAGCCCTCGCTGTGAATTGAAGGTATCATCAAGTTGAATTTCTCATTAATGTGCTACCTCATCAACCTGGAGGCTTATCTGGATGACACACTCATTTATGCTGAACTGCAGCATTGTTTTAGTTTGGAGTACTTGCTTTCAAGCAGTGGAAAAAGACGGAACTTGTCAAAAGCATTAACTTCCCAGTAACAGTTAATATGAGCTTTGATGTCAGCACTGATTATTTTTTATTGCAGGAGTCCCAGAGTTGATAGCCCTTTCACACAGTGAACTGATGCGTGCCCTAACATACAGAAAAGGCTATGACTTCCCATATATCTGGTATTTGAAATTGCTAAACCAGCTTTTTTCAAAATCTTTGTTCCTAACAGTTTTTGGAGGTGGGGAAGAGGCATTATCCAACCATAAATCATCTTTATCCGTTGGTTTTTTGTTTTCTTTTTGGAAGCAACTGTGAGAACAGTTAGCTTATTAAGTAGGAACTAAGCACAAAATAAGTCACTGTAGGACTGAGATGTGGGATTTCTATATAGTGCATGCAGAGCTTTTATAGAAAAAGGTATTTTTCTTTAAGATACATAAGTCTACATACATATCTTACAGTGCTGTCAAATGTATAAAGTAGATGGAAAATTCCCATTCATCTTGGTTACAGAAACGTTGAAGATTGAGCTCTTTGAAGAGACGTATAGCAAAGTTTCATGATTCACAAAATCACAGCTGTAGCAATGTCAGGCTGGGCTCTGTGTGGGGAGAAGATTTAAGCAAACTCATGCTTAGGCTCAATTCCAGGTCCAGATCTTCTCTGACAGGGGGACTACAGAATTAATGTGAACCTCTCAAGAGACTTCAACTACCATCAACGCCTGAGACAAAACCTGAGGGTTTTGTCCTGCTAATCACCATCTAAACTAAGCTTTCACCCATCTTACAAGGCAGTGCCTTGTCCCCCCTTGGGGCCTGTGAAGTTAAGTAACACATAGAAAGGTATCCATTCTACAACTTTTGCAATTGCAAATGGGTAAGCACACAGTGACAGAAGAAAACAGTCCTACTGTTTTAATCTAGAAGAAACCTGCTCCAACTAGACTATGCGAAACCCTTCTTCTCCTTTTCTAGATTGTTGCAGCAGAAGTTCCTGTTAAAACTGGACTTAAAAGATGCAATCTCTTCCTTACAGAAAAGGAATTGGACATTCCCTCTAATTTTTGTAGAGCAGTAATATATTTTTAAAAAGTTTTATAAGAAGTAGCTAAAGTAGTGCTAAGAGGGTTATTTTACATAAGCCATATTATCTGCATAGAGGTACAATACAACTACTGGGCACTGCTAAGTCAGTTTAAATGCACATAGAAATGCCTGGAGCTGTGGTCTGTTGTGTAAAATATGTTTTCATCATACAATTTGATTTCATTTTTTTCAGAGTCCAAGCAAATGTTTCCTAATAGCAGGGATTCTCTCTAGGACATCATTTCATGAGATAGGCTCGTATTGCTGAAAAAATAAACTATTTAATCTAGTGAAATGCTGGTATGGGGGCCCTAACTAGGATACAGAACAAGTATTTTTTAAACAAGGAAATAGGAGCTCATCCACTGTTTAAGCTTAGTGCAGGAAGGTGATTACATGCACTAAAATGCTGAATTCAGTTAGACATTTCTTCAACATCAAAAATTTTCAAAGAATAATTAACATTTCTCCATTTCTGAAAATCCATTTGTGTCCCAGTTGCAACATCCTGCATTACAAAGCTTTTGATTTTGATCACGGGTAGATTATCAAATGTCTTGTACTTCACTATGATTCCCCAGTCATGCTGGCAATTAGTATTTTGGCAATACATCTTGCTTTTTTTCATAAAATCATCAAACTGGACTGGTTGCTTATGGGGCTTTGTTATGTAACGCTCCTTGAATGCTTCTCCAAGGACGGTGTGATGAGATTCCTGGAATGACACAGGCCAGAAATGCTTAATAGGAGAAACACCATTCTTTTTCTTTTTTGTTCTCTTTTTTGACATTTCCCTTCACCTCACAGCTCTGTCATGGAAGTTAACATTTCACCAGTAAGATGCTTCCTGTCATTTGGCAGGCTCAACTTCTAGCCTCTTTTGCTCATTGGTCTTCTGTTTTCACCAAGTGCAAGGTACTAGTGAGCACCAGGCCTTGGCCCATCAAAGCCAAGTTTTTTATCACCCGTCACTAGCTTGTACCCATTTGAGCTTGCTCAGCAACTCTGAAAAAACAGCAACATTTGAACCTTTGTGCATAAAACTAACAAAGAATCATTTGGACAACAAACAAGCGAGGGCCTTGTGTTTCCCACTAATTTTAACTATATGACCCCAGCTATCCATACAGGGTGATGCAAACACTTTGCAGTGGTAGAAGTAGTTACGGTTACAAATTGAGAGAGTTACAATTGCTGTTAATTTTGTAACATATATATATCTAAAGGTTAAAATATGAATAGCTTAATTTGAGAGCATCTGTAGAACTTGTGCTGGAAGAACTTGTGTTGGAGTCTGAAAACTCTGATTCCTCCTGGAAACGTAGCTTACGTTAAGTGTGTGGGCTGTAATACGACAGAACTGTTTGCAGGGATTATTTGAAAGGTTATGAGGGATTATTTGCACAGAATCAATTTGAAGCTTTTTTTTTTTTTTGAACTCTCAGGCTTTTTGCACAGGGATACATGATAACTCAGCACCACAAAACAGAAGATTGCTAACAATCAATCAGGGTTGCATGTCAGATATTCCTTGTTATTAGCCAAAAAAATGTAATTAGGTTTTCAGAGGCTGGGCTATTACAAACTCCTCATCCATGCATTTTCCCTCTGCAGAGGAGTAGCTGAATTCAGTCAAGATTCCAAAAACAGCTGGTAAAACAAAGGTTTTGTCTGATTAAACAGGGAAGTGCCTGAAGGTAAACGCTAACCCTCAGCGATGTTCTGAAGCCCCTCATCACCCATTGTTTGTTAGAACAGCACGGTTAGAAGAGAATGAGCTTCAAAAAACAAATCGCAGAGCCAGAACAGCTGGAAGTGCTCCAGAAGAGGTTCTCTTCCATGGTCACCACCTTTCATGCATAGAGGTTTGGCTTCCTGAGCCCGCGTAGACATTCCTAAAGCCCCAGCTCCTTATGTTGAGGCAGAAGCTAATGGGTTCTCACTCCATCGTAACTCTTTCTAATCAAGCCTAAGCAAGGCCCCCGGAAAGATCTCGATAACAAGTAGTCCCTATGAAATGCATAAAAGCGATGTAAACTACTTAAAGAATGGAACAGAAAATAATACTGAGGCGTTATAAAACCATGGTCTGTGTTGCCCTCCAGAACAGCACTGGCCCATAAGTGAAGGAGCTAAACAATGAGCTCTCTCTATAGTATTTTGTACTGATAACATGCACTCAACAAAAGTAGTGGGGAAAAAAATTAGCTGCAGGAAGACTTCTGCATGAGAAGCTTATGCTGACAGGGAGAGTAAATACCCAGCAGTTACACTAATAGGCCATGCATTGACCATCTCATGGTTTTCCACAACATATAGTCACTTCTAACAGAAGGGGGTTCAGGAAAACCGACCTGATTGTGTAATACTGCATATTTGCACATTTGGTACATACCAGCTACCATCATTAACATGCTGCAGAAGTTATGATTGGTGCTGTGGTTTACTGATTTACCTCAGCAATTTTTCTACCCGAGTAAGCACAAAGTAACCTCTTCTCCACACTGAACAATACTATTAGTCTGATAATGCTGATTTCCTCCATACCTTTATAACTCTGATGTCATCTGTATTGCAAGCATATGATTTGCATTTTCCACATAGGAGATTTTTTTTGCCTTCTACTACCTTTGGTCTTGTATCTTTCTTCTTGGAATCTCGTAACACCTTTTCCTTCATTTGCAGGTTATATATCTTTAAAATAAATAAAAACCAAGATTATAAAAAGCAAAATACATTGTGAAATTGAGAAAAGGCCAGTGTCTGTCTGAACATAGCTGGGGATGGTTAACTAAGCTGTCCTGATATGTAACATCTAGGGACCTGCTCCATTTAAACAAACAAGACAATGTATCTCTGATTCTCCTAATTCTAGGAACTCTTATCAAAGAAAGAACTTGGTACATTTGTCAGGGTCAGAATGCAACGCTAGAATAAGCCTACATGATGGACAGCATTTGTTCCCTCGCCCT